TGCACATGTCATTTCTGTAAAAGAACTATTACAAAATTGAATATATGTCACTTCACAACTACAGCTTGCTTGTTATAACAACAGGATTAAGGAAGTAAATGTAATTCTTCAAAGTTATGATGTGAATATTAATTGCTGTGATAAGGATGGACATTCTTCAATTTATTAGGCAAGTCAACAAGGACATGTTTATGTTGTTAAAGAATGTTTCCTACATTCAGCAGTAGCAAATAACTGCAATAAAAGAGCTGCATCACCGTTGTGGATAGCAAGTCAGAAGGGACATGTCAATGTTGTTAAAAAACTGATCAAACATTCAGCAAAAGTAAATAAATGTGATCATAAAGGTGTGTCGCCTCTGTGGATAGAAAGTCAGAACGGAAATTATAATGTTGTAACTGAACAATTTACAGAACTATTACAATATTATGCCGAGGTTAATAAACGCAGTACGAATGGCACTACACCACTGCAGATTGCGTGTTGCAACATAAGGATAGATGTCATGAATGTCCGTCTTCAGTGTAAATATATTGATATTAATCTCTGTGTTAATGATGGACGTTCTGCACTTTATTTTGGGCAAGTAAAGAATGATATGTTAATGTTGTTAAATACCTGTTAAATCATTCAGCAGAGGTTGATAACTGTAGAGGTAAATTGCATTACCTCTGTGGGTAGCAAGCTGTGGAGGGCATGTCCATGTTGTTAAAGAACTTTTACAACATTCAACAGAGGTAAACAATAGCGATGATAATGGTGTAACGCCACTATGGATATCAAGTTACCAAGGGCATGCTAATGTTGTTACAGAGCTGTTACAACATTCAGCAGACGTTAATAAATGTGACGATAATGGCGTGTCACCTCTGTGGGTAGCAAGTCAGAATGGGCATGTTAAGGTTGTTAAAGAATTGTTACAACATTCAGCACAGGTTAATAAATTTAATGCTAAAGGTGTGTCAGCTTTGTTGATAGCAAGACAGAAAGGACATGTAGCTGTTGTTCATGAACTATTAGACAGTTTAGCAGAGGTCAATAAATGTTGTCTTGACGGTTCAATACCACTGCACGTGGCTTGTTATAACAACAGGAAAGAGGTTGTTAATGAACTTCTCCGGCGTTCTGATATTGATATTGACCACCATAATAATAATGGATAAACCGCACAATATTTGGCGAAGAAAGGAGGACATGAAATTATTTTTCTGATACTGCAAGGACATATTCGTTTTGATAAGGATCTATTAAAACATTAAGACATTAATTTATTTAAGGTCAACTTTGCCCGCGGGAGTTAGAACCTGATTTTATTAGTAAATTCTTAAATTATCAATGTGCAATAACTGCACTACTGATACCTTGGTCCTCCAAGAGTGGTAAGACTAGATTTTATATAAAAAAAATGAAAATAAGACTTTATACGTCTATAACACTTTTCTGGATTAACCACCATCGGGAATTTTTAAACATTTGAAAGCCAGAATAAAAGAAATAAGTAGAAATGTTAAGAGCTATATGAACAAAAAGGACATACAAAATAATATCCAAATTCTTCTGTGGTAAACTTTACCTGCGGGAGTTTTAACCTTAGTTTCAAAACTTTCTACATGTTATAAGTTAGTCAACATTGAATTCGGTTATTTACATTATTTTTTAAATTACGAGGTACATAGTCTATGCTTTTCAATAGAGCCATGAGTTAAATATTGTTCCAACTGTCTATAATTGTAATGAATTAAGCGATTTGTTTATAATGTCTTATTGGTTGGATTCTATGTTTTGTAGGTTTTTGAGTGTTTTTGTCTTTACAAAACAGCAGCTAAAATATTATGAAAAAGAACATAATTCGTACGGCAGTAAACATGTTAAACGTTACATGAAGAAGCGTTCATTGCGTTGTCCCATTGTTTAGTTGTGGGTGTTAATCTTTAATTTTGCGATGGAACAAAGGATTTCTAGTGGTAAAGTTGAAGGTACCGCTTCCAAGGATTTATGTACGCCATTATAATTTGGTAAACATGTATGGTATATATTTATCTCAGATGACCAGGGATGTGTTCCAATAGTCGTAGCCACAATCCAGAACTCTTTCCTCGTATGAAGACATCAAAGAATGAAACTAATCACCGATTTGTACTTATCATGAGCAACTTGACAGTTTGCGGAGGTGTTCGTGTTGATCATTCTTAAGTTCATTATGTTTTGTAGACTTTTGTTTATCTGTTCGTCGTTGTTTGCTTTTTGTCGGTTTCTTTTTGATTTTGCATTTCAATTGTCTCTTCATTATCCTCGGTCCCCTTTTCCATTGCATTAGTACAATGTACAATTGCAACTTTTTGTATAAGGTGGGGTCTAATTTGCTCAGGGTACTTGTACATTTAATTTTTGATAATTAAAGTTGTCTGTTTTTATCACAGAAATGTAATTGAAATTATTTACATTTGAAATTAGCAACTTGACAGGTATAAACTTAAATACATCATTTTCTTCATTGAACAAATTTCAATATTTATTTGAGTGTCAGTCTCTTATTGTTAAAAACATAAGACATAAGTTTACTCAAGAATATTACTATAGATATCCATATATTGAGAAAATATAAGAACTGATTTCATTTTGCAGTATTAAAGTAAAGAAGAACTTTTCACTTTTTATAAATAAAATAGTTATAATATTATACATGTTATAGTCTCATTTATATAATTATTTAGATAATGTTCTGTAGTTGCAACCATAGTTATTATTGTGTATTTTACCTCTTGTTACACATGTATATCTGCATGAGTGTTTCTAAATAAAGTATGTGTTGACTTGTAGAACTTATCCAGATTTGCTTTTTATAAGATAATCTTTGAACTTAGAACTACATTTTCCAAAATATATCCACTACTATATAATGTATAAGTTTGTTTTATTTGAATATAAGAATTGCATCCACTGCGATGGAATGAATGCTGATTTTTCACAGTAGTAAGAAGTTGAATTTATAATATGAATATATCTTTAAATATTCGCCGGGATGTTTGTTTTATCCAATATAACACTAGTGTAATATATTATTTTTTTAAAGCTTGTAGTCTGAATTCAAGATTGGAAGAGGGAAAAGTAAGCTAAAAAATTCGATGCTACTTTAAGATATGATTTAAACTTTGCATATAGCATGTGTGCAGAATGATTCATAGTCTGCGTGTATCAATAAAAGAGTAAAATATTATTAATATTGAAATAGGTTTTATCATGTACGTTATTACTTTGCCTCAACAAGTCAAGGAATAAGTATTATTGTACATGTTGTATTACCATTGGTGTATATATGCGAGTTCAGAGCCAAATATCAGTAACTATTCCAATAAAAATTATGTTAATGTGTACTGATTTTGTGTCATGGATAGATACCCCATATCCTTTGTTTTTCTATTATGTAGGTATATCTTAAGGACCCAGCAGATTTGAATGTATTAACTTAATTTGGTTACGGTTTTAGTTCAAAAAATTATTGTTCATTTTTTTATCTGATTTTATGTAGCCTGTAGTTCTAAGTAATAGAATACTATAAACTTGCAGAAATATATATTTTGGAAAGTAGATCAATATCTAACAAAAAATACGTTACCGTGACCTGTATTTAGCGATCGTCAACTTTTGTTTTAAGGTTTTTGTCGGAGTAAAATTTACAGTTACTGAAAGTAACAAGATCGTCTTTACCATGTTTACATGCGTAAAGAAAGAGTTCAGCATATAGAAAAAGTATGTCATTTAAACCTTATTTATGCTTCATCGACCTTGGTTTCGTTTGAAGTTTTACCTCATACTAGTATATCGGTACTTAAAAGTTCCAGGTGAAATATTTTGAAATATAAGATTTTTTTTAATTTTATATTGCATTGTCTCCATGTTTTTTTATTATGTAAACTTGTACACCTTGAGTAGTATTTTATTCCATTTATTATACTTATTTGTTTTGAATTTTACGACTGTTCACTTAATCTCAGATTTTTCACGTTGTATTGTTTTTTTTTTGTTTGTTTTTTTTTTTAAACATTAAGATATTTATTTAAGTTGTGTTTAAAGAGTACAAATGGTATCAACTTGCAAATAAAGTCAGATGGAAGTTAAAGTGATAACAGTATTCCAAACGGTTAACATACATTGGTTTCCAAAATATAATGTGTATGTACAATCAAAGACATCAAAAAGAAGAATAAGTAGACAAAACCATTGATAACAGTTTTAATTCTAATGCTGTCCAATTAATATGCTAGTAAACCATATTTCCTTCGTCTCTATTTGATTGGCTGAATAATACATGTATTATTTATGTTACGAATACTTCTAAAAAAAACGTCTGAAACATTTTCAGTGTAGTGTTCAAATTCATTCATTTTCATCAATTTCTTATACCCTGGAAAGAGGCCATATATCGTATAGCCTTTGTTTGGGGATTTCATTGACTGCACATAAAGAAGTTTAGTGTCATTCACGAGCAAGAATTATACTGTGTGTTGTGAAGAATATTGTAGTGTTTTATTAAAAATTATCACCTCTCGTTTACATATTTATATGTTGGACACATTTATTCATGGTGTTGTTTGTTTATCTTAATAGTTATTGTATTCAAAACAAACTATAACCATGATAACTTTGATCTGTTTTTGTAATCTAGTTTAGATTATTAAAAATGTATATTTATCTACGTTTCCTTAGTTGCTAACATCTACGTCATTTTGTCTCCAGTGGATACATGTAGTTTTCTTTTTGACAATCATTCCACATCTCCTTATATTCTCTGACATCAGTGTTACAACAGCATCCGTCAGTATCATAAAATCTTGCCCTGAGTGATCCTAGCATATTTCCAAAACATACAAAAACGAAGGAAAAAAATCTACATCAGAAGTGACTACTACTTACTGTCAAACTCTTGAGTGGAACTGCAATTACACACAATTCAAAGAGCATAGTTGGCAAAAATATAAGTAATATTCTCAAATATCAAAAAAGGTTATTTCGTATAATTAACGATGAGACAAAAAAAGATGAGAAAGTCATTGCACGTCTATAGTTGCAACAAGAGTACACACACTAAAATGTCTCGCCTGCCTTACTTACTAGTATCATGATTAAATATCTGAAATGCGAAAGTTTTAATACAAGAGAAAACGAGTCATTATCTTTTATCAAGTTAGGGCTGCAAATACTTGTCACTTCTATCCCTCCCAATACGCTATAGTCGATTGTTCCGTAAAGGTAGTGATGAATATCCAAAATAGTTCCAGCTTTTTGAATTTTGCCTTTGGTGTTTCAGGTTCTTCTTAATATTTCCATAAGGTTGCGGTTATTCAAATAGTACAAAATTCCTAATATTACAAATAAAATCATAATGCCAGTTGATGCTCCTAGATAGGAAACTAGTAGTTCCGTCTGTGATAATCCTGAAAATATGATTTATTCGTAATAATTCATCTAAATTCTAATTTATTTTCTTTTTCATAATAAACTAACTTTCGAACGACATAGAAAGTCGAAAAATTAATTTATAATGTTTCCATTTAGAAAAAAAAGAGACTAAAACGGTAAACAAAAACTGATAGGGAAATAAAGGCGTGTATAGTTGTGTCATCCAGTATTCATTCATTGTATGTACTGTCGAAAAATAAGACGTAACAACAACAAACAACAACCACCAAAACACTACACATTACACAAATACTGGGAGACAACTAATAAACTACACAAATACTGGGAGACAACTAATAAACGCATCATAGATACCAGCTGAGTTTAAATTTCATACGTCAGACACAAGTTTCGTCTATAAATGACTTGTCAGTGACGCTCGAATAAAAAAAAGGCCCAATAAAGTACGAAGTTGAATAGCATTGAGGACCCAAAGCTGCTCTTGAAGTATTTACTGTGATGCTACACTATGGCACCATCGTGTTGCTCGTTAGTCAAACAAGCGATTTAAAGAGGAATTCAGTTGTCATATCATAAAGGAAGAAATGATGTCGTAATTATGGCAACGACAAGTGGATCATTTGACACAGATAGCGATCAACCAAATCATGATGGCATCCATAAATATTCGAAGAGACGACCTCAAAATAGCTATTAAGCAACAAGAGTTACATATCTCCTTGAAATAACCAGCCAAGGGACCAGTGCTTCGATTCTAGAATGAACATATTGATATTGTCTTTATCAAAATTATGATTTTCAAATTTGAGAAATTATTTTAAATGTATGTATCATATATATCATTTATTAATTATCCAAGTCTGATTTTACTTTTGGTCCCTTTCTGTTTTATCAGCTCTTCAACGTTTGTATTAGGTATTTGAGTTTCATATAGTTTGTCCTGGATCACAATTGAAGAGACATAAGTCGATAGTCTAAATGCGCATCTGATGCAGTAAAACTGGAACCGTAAATGTTATAACAAGCATCATATGAATATCCAAATAGAACAAAACACTTGGTTGCATTAAGGCTTTCATTTCATTAATAACATTTTGGTAAACAGCACTTACTGGTTTTCTGTTCCACTGACCCTGTCTCTTCTGTTCGACTTGGTAAATGAACTGAAATGAAAGGAACACAAAAATGTACCAATATAAACCATGCTGTGATATAGGCGTGGAGGCGTTAAATCGGATGTCTCGTGTAGGGATGATGACACGGCCTCTACATGTAACAGAACTCTTTCAACAACTCTCTGTGCACTCAGAAGGGTGTCATGTTGCAATGCAATATTTGTCATCCCTATCTAATATAACTTCATTTTCAAGTGGTACTCCAAATGACTCGCTCTTCATTCTGGTCGACCCTACAGTTGCAGAAACTACTATTTGTTTGAACAGTTAATTGTTTCTAGTCCTGGCATTGCATAAAACAATTCCCTTTGGAGGTTAGGCAAAATACAATCAATCAATCAATCAATCAATTGATAACATTTTAACGGTGCAAATGTTACTACACCAGATGCACATTTCGACAAAATGTCTCTTCGGTGTTGCTCGGGGCCAAAATATTTGAAAACCTAAACCTTATTTCAAAAATAAAGTGCTGATAAACTAAAAATGACAAAAGTATAGCCAAGCCGGGAAAGTGATTAACTACATCTAGCCGTCATATTTGAAATCTATAAGTGTATTTTCAAGTGTGTCTATTGACATCTAGATGTGAATTTTGTATATATATATATTTTTATATATATTTAAAATCTATGTGTGGGTTACTTTTTACTGGATTGGCTTTGATTTACCAGAACCTTTCTTAAATCTGCTAGGTTACAGTAATACCCTTATTGGCCTACAGCTATACAATACAAACTTGAAACAGATGAAATATGACCGAAAGTAGCAAAGTTGACGGCGGATAAAATGTTGAGATTCTAATAAATTTACTGCCATTCAAATATTATAGGAATACAATCAATCTAAGTACTGAAAGAAGGTTGCACAGTTTTAGTCACAGCTGCTTTGTTGTTGTGCTCTCAAACATTTTTTACTTTAATGTCTTAGAGTCTTGGGCACTAAAATCAGTTTCAGAAGCACACAATTGTACGAAAACTAAAATAGATGTAACTCCGTCTCTGCCACGCTACGTAAAGCAAACCCACCGCTGTTTCGGAGTTGGATAACTGTAGTTACTGCTGCTAGTTGAATATCAGTTGTTTAGAGTAACTCCCGCCAAGTTACCAATACTTCGGTACAAAAACGTTTTGTTGACAGATGTATTCAATGTGAAACTTAATCGATATATTCTACTATCTTGCTTTTTGGTGTAGCTTTAAAACAATTATAATGTCAAAATTACCATCAATTTGTTCATATTTGTTACAGTAACGCTTTCTGTAGGAATGGTTTCGACTTTATATTTTAGTCCAGTTACGCTTTCTGTAGGAATAGTTTCGACATGTGTTGTACTTTTTTGTCAAAATCCATTTAAAAAAAATTATATATCTTAGATACCATGCATGCTTATAATTTTGTACGCCAGACCCACGAATAAAAAATGTTAAAAGGTCAAATAAAGTACTTAGTTCAAAACGTTTAGGACCCAAAATGCCGAAAGAATTTAATTAAAGAAGGATAATTGTACATGAAATAACCATGCATGCTAAATTTGTTTATCTCGTGTTTTTTTTTTAATGAAAAGATAATTCATAAGTTCTTCATCATATAGACGGAACAGTTTATCAAGGACCCATAACCAATGTCTAATTGGTTAAATCAGGGAATTTGTAATAACAAAGTATAATAAAGGTATGGAACAAAGATTAAAAAAATCTATTTCAGAAAATAGTTGCGTTAAAACATTAAAAAAAACGTGAACTTATAGTTGTAGCATGTTAGTTCTTGGTAAAAGTCAAATTGTATAGTGATCCTTCAAACGGGAGAAGGTTTGATAAGACCCATTATTTTGCCCCTGAAATTGCAAAAATGACATACAATGGTCAAAATTTCAAAATAAAGTTGATTTTATTGATAAATGAACAGAATTATAAACTTAATCTGGATGGCACTATGTTGTCATACACATGTCGAATTAGATTTATATATGACCATCTTAAACATAGTTTTCGGACAAAAATATATTAGCTAGACGTGACCAATTGTTAAGAAAGCACATTCAAACATCAACATACGTGTAGTTGTAGTCTCTGCGTCTACACATCCTTTGACATGGTCACATCTGTAATTTAGAATAGAAATGTTATGGATAGTAAAGAACAAGTCCAGGAGGCTTTCCGTTGATAATACCAGTCTTATGTAAGGACATTTTCTCCGCTGAAATTTTCATTTATAATGCTATGAGGTTTGGTCCTATAATAATTAAGTAGAGATAAATTGTGTTATTTGGAAAAGATATGTACCTGTTGTACATGAAACAAATTATTATGTTCTAGGAAACAACTAATATCAAATATTTCTCTTTTTGTTGTACATGTTGTACTATAGCTGGAAAACTGTGATAAATCAATTGCCAAGTTTGAAAACCAACATTTGCATCAACTAGTAAGCAAATACAATCATCGATAGTTTTTGCAGCGTTTGAAAAAAGGAACAGAGTGAGAAAATTAGTAGGGAAATAAAAAAAGTCAAAAATGTTCTAAAAAACTCAATTGTGAAATTGGTCAAGTAAAACAATCTCTCAAAAATTTGGAGAATTGTATCTGCTGAGTGTAAGATAGAAGTGCCTGCATCCCTCATGCTGATCATAAAATGTATAAAGGTCTATGTAAAGTGACAATCGAAAAGAATAGAACGGGATTGCGACGGTGATATGTGGATATTCGATTGCGTTCCTGCAACTAAGAGCCAAAAGGTCGATATGTAATATGCTTAATGTTACAAACGTTTTAGATGTCCTTTGAGTGAATTAAGTAATAGCAGTAACAGTATCAGTTAATAGGATGACCAAGTTGAAAATCGGCTGAAGCTTGAGTTTCAACTCTCTCAGGCAAAGTTGTCCTTAGGCGGTTATTAGCTATTCCTTGTATGCCATGTTCGGTGATTTAGCTTCAAAGTTTTGTATTTGAGCGTTCCTGGAAACTCTTCAGTTGCAACATATTCATACAGTTTTATTCTAATTTAATACCCAGTTCTCAAATGAAAGTTCATTTTTTTAATCATATTACCGGCAATATGAAAATAGTTTCCACATGATTTATTAAATAATTGTAATTGGCTTTAAACAAGATTTCAGTAACTGCCAGTACTCTTAGATCGGTACTTTTTGTCTCTTAAGTCTTTTTATTAGTTATTTATTTTTTTATCTTTTTGTCGATCTGATGAGTAAAGCCTGTTTTAACCTTTGTTTACAGTTTGTTTATGGTGTGTTGTTACATCACTGTCCCAGACTATAGGAGGATTGAGCGCTTGCAAACATGATAAGACCCGCAACATTCTGTATGTGCCTGCCCCTAGTCAGGAGCCCATAGAAAGATATTCCTCCAAATTATTTTTTTTGATTTTCTAACATCACTTTAGTTGACACCAACATTTTTTTCAGTTTCACAAAAATCTGTACCGTCGGAAAACAATTTATAATAAGAACGATGTCTATATCTTAATTTTCGTTGAAAACTTCCCAATTTTCATAAAAATCATAAAATCATTTTGGCATAGCATATTATACCTATAAACCAGTTTTCGTTGAAATCCACATTAAAATAATTATTCAGAAAAACTGGGTAAAATTTCATCGGCGTACAATCCTTATCTCTGGATCTTTTGCGTTTACAATAATTTTTTACGGGCATACATGTACAGACAAACAAACAGAAAGACGAATGGACAAAGTGAAAAAAATATAGGGCTCCCGCAACCTTGATGCGGGGCTTTTAAGGAGATGTCGTATGACTGTAAATGAGACAACTATCTATTACTATTCTAGTTTAAACTCTTATCATGGATATAATCAAACTCACCTCTGGGAATCATTGCAATAACATGCAAACCAGCATCCGTCACCGTATAAATCAATTGGACATGGTTCACAAACTTTGCCATTTTTTGACGTGAATCCAGGTTTGCACCCTGAAATTTTTTATTATTTAAACACGTCCAAAAAAGTGTGCTTGGGTTATATATACATGTTATGGTGTGTGTGATATATTTTTGTCCTTAATATTAAGTATTTGAAATGAAATGAAGACACCACAAAAAGTTATAATTCTGTTTAAATAGGTTCAAATGTTGACTGCTCAAATTAAAAGAGATGTGCAAATATAATGTTTTAGTCACTATTTGATTACACTACCAAGAATTTACCCACGTTTTTTTGGTACATTTCTACCCTCGTACATATCAGTACTGTTCGGCAAGACTAAAAACTTGTAATGTTATACTTTCTATTATTTCAGTACTGTTCATTATTATACAATAACTGTACCGTAACTAATTCTATAAATTCAGTACTGTTTTTTTCAGTACTGATTTCGTCAGTACTGTTTCAGTACTGATTTTGACAGTACTGTTTCAGTACTGATTTTGTCAGTATTGTTTCAGTACTGATTTTGTCAGTACTAGTTCAGTACTGACTTCGTCAGTAATGTTTCAGTACTGATTTTGTCAGTAATGTTTCTGTACTGATTTTGTCAGTAATGTTTCAGTACTTAATTTGTCAGTATTGTAATTGTACCGATTTTATTAGTACTATTATTGTACTGATGTTTGTCATTTACTTTTTTAATAAATACTTACTTTTTAGTGCGCACCTTATCCATATATATCAAAAATAGTTGTTTCTTTAGGTATAGCTGTAGCAGTCGATTTGGTGTGGTTTATCTTTTTAATCTGAATGCATTTTGTTTCAAAAAATATTGGGAATTGAAAACTTATAAACTAAGTAAGTATAGTATGGTATATTGTGACATGTTGATGACTCTTTTTTATTTTTTTTATATTTTGTATCTTGTGTAGACATCGCTGATTCAGTGTTGACCTCTATCATTAGAGAAATTTTGACACATGTGCATCTGAGTACAATTGGTATCCAAAAATAGGTTGGATAATTCCGTGACTATATTATTATAATCCTTGTTTAGCTGGCTACATATAAAAACTTATGGTTTTTCTCTTCGACTATATCACTCTGCTGAGCAGGACTTTTTAGCGACGTGAAAATGACTGAGGAAAAGTATCAAGCTTACTTTCGTCTATCAAAAAACTATTGAAGTGAAGGGAAAAACAACAAAAATGAAGCAAGATAAGCAGTTTATCGGATTTTCTCTAGGGAATTCTTTACCCTTTAGAAGCACATGAATTCATTCCCGGTTTTTAGTCGAGTTGGTGTTGTTTCTTTTTATGTATTTTAACTGTTGCTGCAAATGCACTTTGGTTTTATGAGTCTTTGTTTACTCCTTGATTTTGATTGCGACTGTCTTTCTGTGTTTAAAAAAAAATACGCAATCGACACCAGAGAGATTTACATTGTGGTTCGAGGCTGATATTTTACAATATCAATGTGTATAAAACCGCACAATTTATACATATATCTAACAAGATAAGAATCTTCAATACTGATCATTTTTGGTATTTTGCTATTGCTTAAAACATGTTGACTTTAATGATTCCATATGTTAATATGTTAGGCAATGTATTGTAATTAACATAAAACAATGTCTCATCTCCTTTTTTTTTATCATAACTGGAATTTCTTTTATTTATCATAACAATTGTTTTAATATAATAATCTTTATTGTCAAATAAACATATGAAGTCTGTGACAAAAATGTCAATCATTTTCATGCCGATAATTTGTAAAGTTTCAAATGATTTTTCTTTCATATTTTCCTTTCAGAGTAAGAATACTTGAAAAAACTGGGAGGATTATTATGAGAAAAATAAGATAATGCCTTTACCAAGTTAAGAATATGACGGTTGTTTTCCATTCGTTCTGCTATTTGATGTGCTTTAGCGTTTGGTTTTGCGAGATGTTTATGAAATTTCCCCGCTTTTTAAAATTTTTCAGAGTTCAGTATTGTTGTAATCTACCTTTAGAAACATAGTTTGTAATCTTGATTTTTGGCAGCAGCAGACTTTATTTCATATGGATGTACCAGTGACATTTAAGTTTTTTTTTATTTATGTAAAAGCTGGCAAACATGGCGTATTCTTGCTATGTAGCAAGTTTTTGGTGAATTTGAAAACAATTTTTCATAAAATATTGCCTGCAAGCACCACTACATTTTTTTTATATAACGGAGGAATAAGATTTGCACATTTTAAATTATTTAAAGAATATTTCTGTTGATATATATATATATATTAAGTACAAAATATAGTTAAATTCAACAGAAACTTAGGATACAATTGTACTATATAACCCCTTGACTATTTTATGACCCTTGTAATTAAGGTTCATAAATAAAACAATCAAAGAAACACTTAATTTTGCTTGTATCATGTTTTATTGCTCTCCCCCCTTTGCCATCTTTTCTTTGGAATGCTTTATAGAATGTCAGTTTCCTGGCTGGTGTCTTTTCCTCAATTCAGTCTCACATATGATGTCTTGTTACATGTAGATTGGTAATTCCAGAGGACTCCCTAGTTCTAATATGAGCTCATTACAAGCATCCATCTTTTATGTTTTGGTACTTGTACGAAATTCAACGGAATTACATGGTTTATGATTAAATATTGTCTTTTCTGATGAATGCCATATTAAAATACATCCTTCTGTATATAGGTCTTTAATTTTCACATCGTACGTTCCCATTTCAGCGGCTGTCTTCTATGCTGTTAATCATTCTGAGAATTTATTCCTAAATAAAAAAAGCAAAATATGATAATTAAATCCATCAACCTCGAAGTATTGGTGTTTGCCAGTGACAAATATTTCATGCACATGTAGCTTTAACCATCAGTCTATTTATGTGCTCTTTATAATAATTATAACGTGTCAAAAGTTTGCAGTTGATGATTAAAATGGTGTAGAAAGTTTCTGCAAGTCATAAAAACATAAATAATTAGTTTCATGATATGTCTTCAACTTAGTATTTTGCACCATCTCCAAAACCAGAGTGATCGCCTAGATCCAGCATGGCTGAATAAAAAAATCTAAAAGTAAATAAAATGTTATTGTAAAACATTTCAAACGAGAAAAATAATAAACAATATATAGCAGTCAATGTGGCGGGATTATATAAGATTGTTGACACCTGGGACAATGGTGGACTAATATCAAAATGTATCACAAATAAATGAAGCATCGGTAAAAAAAAAACCCGGTCAAAATAGGAACAAGTGGGATCGGGACAGAAGAGAAAGAAGTGGGAAGTGGGAAAAGATCGGAAAAAAATACTGTGTGACAAAAACACAGGATTTGAGGAAATGAGCATGTGTCGGTCGGATCCAGCAATTTTTAAAAAGGGGATCCAAATCAGGAGATAGGGTTCCCAAATTTATTTTCCCTTTCAAATGCATTAATCGCCAAAATAAAGGGGGTTCCAACCCTCGGACCCCTCCCCCTGGATCCGCCGATGCCCACCCCCTTTTCCTTATCATATGTTCAGAAACATTCAGGATTTATCATTCTCAAATATCAATTATTGATTGATATTATTTCATAACGTTTGGTCAAGTAGTAATGAATATGAATATTCCAACTATATGTCCCCATTCAAATTCATTGATCGTCCCATAAAAGGGGGGTTCCAACCCCCGGACCCCCCCTAGATCCGCCAATGTGTAACGCGTATTCTCCTACTTAGGATATGTGTTTTAAATTAGCCATGCGGCATGCGACAATTTTCTCAGTTTTAAAATATTCAATATATACCATACCTTTTGTCCAGAAGAAGTGTGAACTGTTGACTTGTTGAAATGTCAGTGCGAGTGCAAAAATAACGTTTGTAAACAATGAATGACGTCATGAAATCCAATCACATAAACGTAGGCAATTGTAATACTATGTTCAATATTAACCCTCTTGCTGCCAAAGGGACATTTACGGCTTCTACACACAAATCTTGTTGATTGTGTTGAACGTCAAAGTTCCATAGTAACGTCACAATACTGAGAAGCACTGACAATGTCAAAAGACGGCGCCAAAAGGACGATTTTGGCGGGAATGAAGGTCATGAAGCAAACTGAATTAAATGCATTATTTGTATACTTAAAACGGATGTCAAAAAATGATACAGGATCATAAGCTTGTTAGTACTGTAATACCAACTTATTTAACGTGTTTACTAATTATCTATTTTCATGTAAAATGTTGCATACTAGTACTTTCGAGAAATTTGTTAAACGTCAGTTTTTTTTCATACATCTTTCAATCAGAATATCTCATATAATAATCGCATTCCTAATAAATAATCATAGAAAAGGTAACTGTTATACTTGATTACGCGAAATATTAATATACACAATACACGCTTTAGTTAAGAGAACTGGAAAATTTCTTTAGGACTCAAATGCCGCGATTGAATTCTCAGTGAAGATTTTTTTTGTAAAAGTACATAAATGTTACCCGATATACTTGTACTGCCATACGATATTTCAATACATTTTATTCCCGTTTCATCATTTAAGCATTAATATAAAAAATATTTATTTTCATTCGAAATGGGGATGCTAAATAAGGGAGCTACCATTTGATTTTTATGGGGGTCTAGGATGAAATTTGAAAAAAATAGGCAGACAGGAGTTTTGAGTAAAAAAAAAGGCAGGATGAGACACTTGCAAAAAAAAAAGTCGGGATGACAATTTAGGTAAAAAAAAAGTCAGGATAAACTTAAAAAAAGGCAGGACCGAATAGAGTGAAAAATAAAAAGGCAGGACAGAGATTACAACTAAAAAAATTCAAAACAAAATTTTTCATCCTAGACACCCCCCCCCCCCCCCCTTCCCATAAAAATCAAATGGTAGCTCCCTAAGTAGGTGACCCAATGATTTTTTTCCTATCCTACAAATCATCCTTTCCCAGCACTTGGCAAAATCTCAATTTTGAGCCATTCATCACAGATCTTTTACTTTGTAGGACCCACTGAGCAACAGATTTATTGTACATTAAATTTCAGACGTCCTAAATA